TTATTATCAATAAATCAGCAACATGCTGTGATCTTGGCCAGAGTCAGACTCGGGCCAAAATCAAACTGACCCACTATGAATTCCTTAAAAAGTGGTCATCAACCCCATTTTAAAACCGAGGAAATTTCTATAGATTTTCAAATTAAAACAGCAAATAAATGTAATTATAGACAGCATTTGTTTTCTATAGAGCACAAATTCCTGTTCAACAGAAAGCCTTACAATCTATATTATTACCCCAGCAGACCTGATAGTGTATTAGTATTCCGAAACAATCTCAATTTCAAATCATGAGAAGCACACAGTGCAAGCTGCCATTTTATAGGCACTAAAACACTAACACTATGACAAGTTCTTTTGCTGTCTTTAGCTGGGTACCCATTTCCACCTGGGTGAAGTGAGGAAAATTTGTGTAAAGCACTTTTCCCAAACTATGGAAGTCAGGAATTATTTGAACAAATACCAAGACAAAACTCTTCAATACCAGTATCGTATCAAAAGTTACTCTATGTGTATGACATCTCTAACAACTATTTCCCTGGAGTATTTTTATGTGAAAGTGAAAATGTGAGTGCATGTAAACTTGAATCAGGTCTTTTATTACACTTTCTATTCTCGATTCAGGTGTAATAATTACAGTCAGATAAATAATCTATAGACCGGTAAAAAATTCATGGTGCAACTTATTGTCATATCTCCTAAATTATCGTTCCAGTTTTAAAGTTTTTGCACATTGACTTGTATCAATTTGTCAGATCAAGATTTTTGTAAACACTTGTTAGCTCTATTCAAGAAAATTCTTTTATAAATACTAATAATAAATCCCAGTGGGTGGTTTCAACAAATTTTAAAAGTAAAAGGTTAACAGCTAGGATAAATAGTACATTTCGCTTTTAAAAGCAAGTCGGTCATTTTTTCTAATCGCAAAAGATTATAAATGATTATTGAACGCAAGTTTTGGGAACTTTTAGCGCAAAAAAGTGTTCACTATAAAACTAATTTCTTATAACTAAGTTAGTTTTGCCACTAAAAACTGTCACTGGTGAGTTGTGACGTAGGCCATGCGTGTATGCAATATGTGTGTGAGAAGCGGCAAGTGCTGTGAACGATTTCATTTTCCGCTTGAAGGAGATTTGTAGTATTTTATATAAATTAACGAAGAAAAAGCTTTTTAATCTAGTCTCAAATGTTGTGGAAAAATATGATTCAGTTCAGTTAAGACAAATTGATACAAACTGCTGTGCAAAGTATGGGGTGGGTGACATTGATTCACCTATTAGAAAAAGATAATTGAGGATAAGTAGCACCACAAATTTTTGACCCCACAAAATCAAGTTAATAACATACACACACACACACACAACCCCCCCCCCCCCCCCCCCCCCCCCCCCCCCCTCCCCGTCACTCCTGATCAGTACAAAGTTGTAAGTGAAAGTGTGAAAGTGCATGTCTACCTCTAACTCATGCCATGACTTTCTCGAAAATACATTATCAATTGGTATTATAATTATCAGTCACAGTGAGATAAAATTGATAAATTATTTGGCAGTGTAGTTAATTGCGACAGAGTGATGTTGTGACAACTAACGCGGTGTTAATTGCGACAGAGCGAACACGGAGCTCTTTTTTGCATAGATGAATAACATATCTCTACAACTTCCGTTTTGCTTCCCAGCTAGGTCCTAGTTTTATCTAGTCCCCGCCTGACAAGATGGAAGGCTTTCTAGAGCAGGCATTCAAATCTTACGACGAATTTGACAAAACTTTTGCGAAATTTAAAGAAGAAAATTTTGTTGCCTTTAGGAACAAATCATCTGAAACAGTTCAGAAGGCGAACTTAAAGAGTGTGGCGCTTATATTAATCTCTTTTGTCGTGTATTGTTAATAGCGCCTGGGGGCGCGTGCTTAATCTACCGTGTTTCGATTTCAAGCATCACTATTGGAATTCTGAAATGTTATTAATATACACCAGAAACCTTGTAACCAATCAGTAGAGCATGGTTGACAGGTTGCAGTTGCTGCAAGTGTGAAATTTTATCGTGCGAAACACATCGATACAACGGATAATACGTCATGCCACTGACCAAACATGTCGTTCCATGCGGTATCTCCAAAGATTCTCTACTACACTATCTACATCTCCAAGGCCTTCTAAAACTAGTCTGTGGGTATCCCAGGATGTGATGACATCACACTTACTAAAATTAGCCGCCAATTAGACAGATCCGTCGTTCTACGTTTAGCCGCATGCCCTAGTATGGACATGCTGTCAGTTTGATGTCAGTTTCACGAAATAAATAATCTTCTAGATGCATTGTTATAATGATCATGTGTAAACTGTACTAGATCAGAACCACTCTCACCCCTGGGGCGATGCTACTGACTGAAGTGTCTTTAGGCCACTCCCAAAGGAGGGGACATTTAACATCTCGAGTTCTTAAGTACTGCAGAATTGTAACTCCACATGGGCTGATTCATTATTCAATGTCAAGCTCATTATAATATATTATATAACTGTGCCTGAACTGCAACAGTTTACAGGGAACTGCTGCCTTTTCTTTCCTTATCCTTACCACCGTCATTTTTCCTCTACTTCTTTTGCATGTTTGTCACACTTTTGTGACCCGCTATTTCCGGGGTGCCTTGATAGTCGAAGCAGACTTGGTGCATTTGAAGCTAGAGAGGTGAAACAGTGGACTTCTCTTTTGACATCCACCCCTTGGCGCTCATATGACCTTATGCAGTTGCGAGCGCCGTAAAACCTCTACTAAAAAAAGAGAGCCACTCTGTTGCAATTAACGCCCCATTAATTGTCACAGACTCACTCTGTCGCAATTAGAATTTACATAAACGCAGCGTTAGTTGTCACATCACTCTGTCACAATCAATCAATGACTACCAAATTATATACGAAGTGACTATTTCTCAGAACGCTCCGGAAAATAAACTTGATCTCTATATTTCTCCGAACGGTTTCCGTTCTCGAGATTTCTTGGTAAATTTGCGAGATTTAGGCGTCATCTTCCATTCAGCGAAGACTGGGAAGAAGCATTTTTTTTGCATCGAATTCAATTTCTAGAGCTAGAGATTTTTAAATGTCGAATATTCAGATACTTCAGCTGTGGTTAGGGCAATGTTCCCGGACTATACTTAATTTGAAAATGCCTTCAAAAGGTACTGCAAGAAAACAGGACTGCTTGACCTTGGCAGTAACCTATTTTGCATTATTATTTATAGTTAGTCAATCCTAAAGCAAAAACTAAAATCCTTCATGCAATTTTAAAAACGAAGTGTATACAGACCTGGTAACCGGGAACAAAGTCACGAAGTATACAGACCCGGTAGGGGAACTCTTTTGTGATTTCGGGAAGTTTCAGACCTCAGACCCGGTCACAGAATTCTACACTTCTAAGTGTAGAATTCTGTGGACCCGGTAGAAATCCTTTGTGTGTGTGTGTGTGTGTGTGAGAGAGAGAGAGAGAGA